AGTACAACACAAACAACATAACACAGGATTCTGCGGGTGAGGGGGTGTCAAAAATTCCTTAGTGATTCAGTAGCACAATTCTTACTGAAAATCAATGGGACTTCTGCTTGGGTCAGTTAGGATCCTTTGAATATCCCACTCATAATCCTGTGAAACAGCAGGCAATACTGAACTGTCTGAATTTTAAGTTTTTCTACAGTAACAAAGCTGAAAGATGTTCTGCATTTTTAAAAAATAAAGTTTGATTCTTTTTTTTTTTTTACTACTTTATAATGCACAAAATAGGCCAGAAAGGTTTTTGTCTGTGGAAAAGAATTTCTGAATTGTGTTTTTTGTGGGTTGGTTGGTTTTCAATATTAGAAATATCACAAATGTCAAGTTTGGTATTTCTTGGTACTGTGTGTACTCATGCTTGAGTTGAAGAAGTAGGGAGGTAACAAAGGGATTTACCAAAGATGTCCTTTCTCCAAAATATATATTAGGCATTGAAGTTAAATACCTGTTAACAAAATGCAAACACTTCTAAGCAGTCTGACTAAAAATCCCTTGCCTTCACAATTGCTCTGTTTTCAGTCTCTTTCCCTTGTAGAAACTTCACTAGTTTTCCAGTCACTGTAGTGTATTCCAGGGTAGACAGAGCCGAAATATTTAATTTAAAAGACAGGGGAAAAAACACCTTTTTTTCTTGTCTTCTTCACACATTATAAAGAGCAAATAATGGGCAGAAGTCCAGCTTTAAGAAACCCTGTTGTTATTCTTACCATAAAGGATCTTTTTTTTTTTTTTTAAACCAGACAATATTAGTGCTTGTTTTAAAGACAGGCATCTTATTCTAGGTATTTTTGGCTGCAGCCCCAAAAGTCACCTTACTTTTATCATTTTAATACTTCAGATACAGCATCCCAGAAGAAGAGGTAGTAGTAATTAACAGTTTCAGCTTAGCTCTGAATTTCCATTTGGTTATTGGTCAGCTTAGGTAACAACTTTAACTTTAATGTTACAGAAGCACAGTTTTCTATCTGAGTTTAATTTTGGATTAGGAGCTGAGAAGTCGCATGTGATAATGTGCATCCAAAGGCTAAGAAGCAGAGCCCGAACTGTACTTAAAATGCTAAAAGATATTACAGTAATCTGCGTAATGTACAACTTCTTCCTTTTGAATAAATATTTTACATCACTTTAAAATTGGAAGAGAGTCTTAGATTGTGGAAATGGAAACAGGCCATTTTAAAGATAAAAATAAAGTTCTTTTAACAGCAAAATATTTGTACTTTTTATGAGAACAAGGGTAACACTGAGTAATCTTTAAAAATCTATTGCTGAATGAGGATAAGTCCATTGTCCAGTGACATGACTTTTCCTGTCAATCACAGAGGTGACAAGGGGGCTAGATTAAGTAAAGCTTGCCCAAGATTAACAAAGGAAGATTATTGACCTCATCCTGAAAGGGCAGAAGCCTGTTTTATCATTAAACCTTGGAAGAGAGATTCATCCATAGGTGGCAACTTTCATATAAATGAACAAGTGTTTCTGAGGGACTCTAGCTCTGAATAGAACCGGAAGGCTTGAATCTTGGGTCAATCTATTTTTCATTGTTGGTGGGGGTGAGAGGAGAAAAGTGGCCAGCCCGAATGACCTTGTCAGCAGGATCTTTGTAGGTTCCTGACTGCCATCTAAAGTGGAGAAAACAAGAAACGACTGCATCAGGTGTTGGTGAGTACGGTCCCAGTTCGGAGTTTGATTGAGTGTTGTGTCAGCACACATTAGCAAGCAATTCACAATCTAAATGAACAATGGACCCCCATACACAAAACAGCTGCTAACTGCATAAAACCGTTACAGGGATTAGCAGAGCCAGAGGCTGAAATGTAATCAAATTTGAACAGGTGAAATGGTTACATAGCAGACAGAGAATATTCCTAGGTGAATTAGCAACAGCATCTAGTTTTCCACTGTTGTGGTGACAGGGGTTTGTAACACTTGTGAGGTCTGCTGAATTTCCATAAATTTCCCTACCTTAACAAGTATTTAGAGAAGCTGGTGCATGCTGCTTCTTTTTTTTTTTTTTTTTAATGACACTTGCTAGAAAACTGTAATGTGCTTTTCTTTCAGTAAACTGAGTAAAATTGTGTGGTTTTGTCTTTTCAAAAGATAGACCTGCTAAGTCTCACTCATTTGAAGGGAGGCTTTCCTACACTGGGATTAATTTTAGGCAGTTTCTGAAGTGTTGTCCTCTTGCCATTAAGGATTCTTCAAGGTGTTGGCAGTGGGAAGTTTAAAGTCTCATGCATAATTTCTCAAGAATTCCATCACTGAAAGTTCCTTAGCTTTATACAGCTCTTAGCATATGTCCATAAACATGAGTAAGTTGTTTATGGAAGTTTTTCTTTCTTCTTTTTTCAAACAATGAAAGACTTAATAGGTCTGAAAGGCTTTATCTTTCGTTTTGTTTTTTTCTCCTAATAAAGATGTGAAATAGAATGTGAAATTAAATAGAAGTGAGTAAGGTAAAACAAAGACAACAGTTAAGCATTTCATGCTGTTGTGCAGAATGATCATAGGATACAATCATGGCTAGTCTGGTGGAGGGTATGGGCTCACCTCGATATTCTGAGGTTTACACATGAAACTCTCATTAACACTAATGGATGCAGTGTGCACCCATTCCTGTGCACTGGGAGGAGAATATTCTTTTTAGATTGTAACTCACTCAAGGAATGTATGATTGCTGCAGATCTTTTTGGATGAATAATTCACTGTACCTTAACTTAGCTCACAAAAATTTGAACGCAGCTGTGGTCCTACTGTATGTGTGTTTTAATTAAGTGTAGTGTACATTAAGAACAACCCGGGCATGAATAACCCATATATGTGATATTCAAACACTATGTATGCACACACACAGATGGGGTGGCTTAAATAAAGATTGAAAACAATTTACTCTTGGAGCAGGAATTTTAAAATATAATTTAATGCACAGATATGTTCTTTTGAAGTCTGTACAGGGCTTAGGTCTGATTTATTTTTTTTCTCCAACTGTGCAGTCTTACTGTATTGGTATGTATGAGGTCCTCCCCCATCAGAGCACCTCACAATCATTAATCGATTTATCCTTATAATACCCTAGCAAAGTAAGGAAGTATTACTGTCATCCCTGTTTTAGCAATGGGAAACTGAGACCCAGAGAAACCTGCCCAAGGTCACACAGGAAGTATGGAAGAACCAGGAATTGAACGCAGATCACCTGAGCCTTAGTCCAGTGCATTAATCACAACACCACTCTTCTATCTTGATGCAATTTCCCCCTTCTGAACAAATAGCTCATATAACTTTTAGTAATGGAAAGTATTCTGGGATACAGTTTGCATGCCAGTAGTTTGTAAAATATGTTTTTTAAAAGTTGCCTTGCATTTCATTGTATCTTCCTTCAATAGCTGCAGTCCTGAATATACAACCTAAAGCTATCATTAACTCCCCTCCCTGCCCCCCCCCCATAAAAACAGAAACAAGATAATTTTCGTTTTCAGTTGGTCATCTGTGAAAAATTATCAACATTATTGAAATTTCATGAAATATTCCACTATATATTTTAATAAAATTGTTTACCAAAAGGGTTATGGAAAATTTTTGGTTACATAAAACTACATTTTCTTGCTGAAACCTTGGTTTTCAATAAATGAAGACTACCAAAAATGATTTGGAAATTTTTTTTTGGTGAAAAACAGTTTAACAAAAAATGGAAAATGGATCCATTTTCAAACCCTGCAAAATGGAAACAGTTTTTAAAAGTGTAATAATTTTTTTCAACCAGCTTTATAACTGAGATGAGAATCTGGTTCACAGACTTATTAGTAATGGAAATAATTATCCAACATTTTATACAAACACACAAGGAAATACTCTGTAGCGTTATTAAGAGCTAAAGAATAAGAGAAGAATCTGAACAGAAGGAAATGTTTAAAACAGATAATAGAAATATATAATTTTGCAACATTATATAATATAGATATGATATGTAACAAATTAAGGACCTGAATGAAGACATTAAAATCAAAGGAACTAATCAGGTACATAGTTAACTTTAAGCACATAGTGTTTGCAGGATTGGTTTCTAAAGTAATAGCAGAGGAAGAAAGGATTTAAGAGGCATATGCAAGAGTGACAAAAAAGATTTAAAAAGAGAAGGGAGAGACATTGAGTCAGAAAAAGATACTTCATATGCCAGGAGCTGCAGAGAAGAAGGCTCTCACATTAATGAGGCAAGTTTGTACATATAGGACCTAGATCTGTCATCTGTTAAAGTCAATGAGATTGCTCCTGTTGACTTTAATGCAAGGAAGATATGCCTGTATTTTAGGAAATTGTGCATTTGTGTCACTCTGCCACCTGTGAGTGTCATGAGGACCACCCTTGTGAAAAATATTGTCTTTAAAAGAAAAGAGAGTATGAGATGGAGGAGGAGAAAAGAAAATGAATTAGAAGCAGTAAAATGATTGCTTCTTTCCTTAGAGATGGGAGAGCTACTTGAACTGTGAGTTGAAAAAAAAATCATATAGTGCAGGGATTTAATAGCTGATTATTATTTCATTTCCAACAGCAACTAGCCATCATGGCATTAAGTGCTTTAAAAAGGCAGGAAATTAATTATCCTAGGGAAAAAAATCTGAAGATTGCGCATAGAAAGTTGTAAAAGAACAAACAATTAAAGGTAATCAATACCATTGTTATTAGAAAACCTATGAGTGCAACACTTCTCCTCAATTAGAGAAAAACTGTATTTTATGTTTCTCTCCTGCAAGCTGATCTTTGCTCACTTCAGCCTGTAATCTTAGTTTATCCTTTATCGAGAGGCTTTGTTCTGGATGTTTTTGAAGCATTGCATTTCTTTTTAAAGGTTTCGCCAGAAGAACATACAGCAATGAACTCAAAGAACAAAGGGTTGTTATTTCTTTCTTTCTTTTCTTCTTTTTCAAGTTTCATCTCATGTCTCTCCTCTTTCAGGAAGTTGATGGCAATAAAGTGATGTCTTCATTTGCCCCGCACAACTCATCTACCTCACCCTTGAAGGCAGAAGAAGGTGGGCGTCAGAGTGGAGAATCATTGTCCAGTACAGCCCTGGGAACCCCTGAAAGGCGTAAAGGCAGCTTAGCAGATGTTGTAGACACCTTAAAGCAGAGAAAAATGGAAGAGCTCATCAAAAATGAGCCAGAAGGTAAGGCCTGGGAAATGGGCCAAAATTTTGTTTTCTTTCCTCCAGGTTCTGTCAGCTTTGGATATCCATCCATCCATCTCCTGCTCTTGTTGCTGGCAAAATAGAAGTGTGTGTCCTGTCTACACTAGGGATAATTTTCACAAGTGTTCCACCATTTCACCAGCACTGTTTAAACTTTTTCCCCACCTTTGCCCCACTCTGCTTTATATGGGCTAGCTGCTGCCAGCACAGTAAGCACAATGTCTTCTAACCCGGCTCAGAATCAGGTCTAATTGACATGCTGGTTGCTACTGTGGTGACAAGCCAGGGCCCATCTACATTAGGGCTACTGACATTGCTAACACCAGTGAGCTGAAAACAGTGTTATCAATGATGGCAAACTTTTGAAAAAAATCCACTTGTATAGACAGGGCCAATATTTGAAGGACAGAAGGTGGAATTTGGTAATCATGAAAGGTCCTGGATTAAGTGTGCCCTAAACTATAATCCTTTTATTTATCTATGGAACAGATACTGTGCAAACAGATGTAATACAAGTTTCTCCTGTCCTGCTCTGGAAATTTCTCACCCCTAACATTCAGGGACCACCTCTAGGAGGTGGCAGTAGAGTCTCTGTGCTCTTTCTGCCCTTGGCTTCACTGCCAGAGATATGAGCCACCTGTCCATGGGCAGCGGCTATCAAAGGCCAGGGGAGGCGGTACCTCCCCAAACAGCCCTGTGTGGTCCCGTCCATGTTCCACCCCCAGGCCTCCTCCTGCTTCCTGCTGGCACTCTGTGGGGCCGCGGGCTGGCTCTTTCCCCCATGGCCCCGGTCCGGACTCTGGGCAGCTGGAGCTGTGTTTGCACTGCCTGGTGTTCAGGGCCGGGGCTGGGGGGAGGGCGCTCGGGCTGTGGGGGGAGGACGCCCACCCTCCCTGCAGTCCAGAGTTGGGGGGGGCCTGTGCTGCCCATCTGGCTCTCCGGGGTGGGGGCCGTGCCTCCCATCCGCCCGGCGCTCCAGGGCTTTAGTGGGGGAGCTGCACTGCCCACCCGGTGCTCCGGGACAGGGGTGCTCAAGCAGCCTGGGGGGCGGGGGAAGCTGGTGGCCGCAGTGGGGGGGGAGGGGGGGCTCTGGGCTCTGGCGGGGGAAGGCAGTGGGGTCTCAGGCAGAAGGGGCAGGGCCTCAGGCAGAAGGGGTGTGCTGGGTGGGGAGTAGCCTCCCCCAGCCCACGGTTCACCCTCCACCCATGCACCTGTCCTCTAGGAACTGACCCTAGCACACCAACTCATTTCATAGAGGCCACTGAACAGCTTTCAGATGGGAAATATTTTCAATCACTATCAATCTGGGCTGGATTTAAACCAGTGATCTAAAGATGGAAGTCTCCATGTCCCATTACACTCCCCTGAGCCATCCAGAAAATATTATTGTAACTGTTTTGGTAGACCTTGTGGATTTCTATGGCTCCAGGGGTTTGGTGCTCTTATATGAACCCACTGTTACGGATTCCCTAGTTCCCTTGCAGTATTACTCACCATCTGACTTTGTGTCTGCCTATCCCTTTTCAATCGTTTTTAAAAGTGGAGAAAACCCAACCTCAGAGCTCCCCAAAAGCTATACTGTTCTTGGGTGTGCATTGGTGGTGCCTGTGGGAAATTTTTAGGACTACTTCTACATTTGAAGAAAACTGGCTGACAAAAAAGCAAAGAGAAATATAGTCACACTCTCGCACACATGTACACATGGCATGACTGTAAATTAGTCTTCTCTTTAGAGGGGCCCCCGGTAAGAGTCTGCTGGAAAACAAATGCTTTGTTTAATAACCATTTTTTAAAAAGGTATTAAACATATTGAACCATTCTGGTTTGTTTTTACCACTTACATTATGGCCGATGTCATGACTTTCCTTGTACCTTGGAGTGGGAAAGACTTCTACACCATGGCTATGTGTGGGGCAGTGAGGAAAAGAAGAGGCAAAGTTATTTAGGGGATGGGGAAGAGGAGGGATATCTGGGCAACATGTAAATAAAGTGTTGAGTAGGAAGTTGTGCATGCTCCAGAGACTCCATTAAGGAAAGGCCACAGTTAGAGATGAGAATGGTTACAGCGCCTATGCATTTCCTCATCTCCACCAAAATGAAAATATACAGTACAAACAAAAGGTCTACAGCTTTGTAAAAAGATTGGGAGAGTGTGTGTGGGGGGGTAGCAACTGAATGTTGGGCTTTACAAATGTATGCAACAGAAAATCTTTTCTTCCCTCTAGCCATTGTTCTATTGTCTTTCAAAGGCCATTAAAATGAACAGCAGGTTGTGATGAAAATTTCATTAAGCCCTAGTTAAATCATTATGAGGGTGCCATATTCATGTCTCTGTTTCCTCCCCATCCAGAAATAAAAAGAGAAAAGAAGGTTGTTGTTTTGTTTTGTTCTACTCCTCTTTTCCCTAAAAGCAAACTAACAAAAGTTCAGAAGTTAGAAGAGAATGGGAAATGGGGCATCAAACAAAAGGAGGCCACTGAGGTGAGCTGGCTAGGAAAAAAAAAATTAGACTTGCATAAGAGCATTAAAAGGTGGTGAGGAGGGAATATGTCATCTCAGCAAGCCTTCCCCCCACCCCCTTTGCTCTAGTCAGCATGAATTTTTTTAAGTGGCTAATTAAATTTTTATCTTGTGAGGCGTGGAAGGCAAAAAACTCTCAGTTGTTTTAAAAAACTCTCCACAAAACAATGTTGTCTTTCTCAAAAATTAGCTTCCCACTGCAACCACTGCCTCTTTGTGTGTTAACCCTTTCAGAAAGTCTTTTTGTTACTGTTACGTTTTATTGATATATGCAGTGTTGTTGTAGCTATGTTGGTCTCAGGATATTAGAGACATGAGATGATGAGATAATAACTTTTATTGGACCAACTTCTGGTAGTGACAGAGATGAGCCCTTGACCTGAAGAAGAGCTCCATGTAGCTCAAAAGTTTCTCTCTCTCTCACCACCAGAAGTTGGTTCAATAAAATATATTACCTCACCCATCCTGTGTCTCTAATGTTTTATTTGACACAGTTCAAGTGTGGCGATCTTAGCCATTGCTTGTTGCTAGTCAAGTAATTAAAAATTCATGTTTTCTCTCTGGATAAGATGTGCTACAATTGGCAATCTCTAATAATACACGCAGGTAATAACTCCATAACAGGTGATGCTGTATGTCTCAGTACAACATTTTAGTCTTGAAAGTACAGGACCTTGCACAATGAGGCTGCAATCTTAGCTGGGGACGGTTGTAACATAAATAATAATAATACCTAGTTTCTTTCTCTGGGAAGAGAAACAATTGCACTAGTGATAGTTTAAATCAAAGAGTTTCCTTTAATCTTCTTGAATTCAGACATGAACTGGATTTCTATTTTTTTTATATGTCCATTCTATCATTTGAAAATGTATTTTGAAACTAAAGAAAAAGTACACTTGAAACATTCAAAGCACAATGTCTGAGCAGATTCAGCTTAGCTCATGTACACCAGGGTAACTGAAATCTCCAAAAGAATTCTGATGAAGACTTTTGGCCATGTGTTGTGCATCTGGCGATTAGCATAAAAATGACACTTAATAGTGCATAACACTGGAGTTTGAGATAGGGTTTCCACCTTAAACTGTTTCCCGCAAATCTGCAGGTCACGTCTTTGTAACATTTACAGTGGCACATCACAAAGCCATGTCATGATGTCCTGAAATTAACATTGCAATGTTGGGACATAAAGGTATATGATACTTAGGGCCCTACCAAATTCACGGTCCATTTTGGTCAATTTCACGGTCATAGGATTTTAAAAATCATAAATTTCATGATTACAGATATTTAAATCTGAAATTTCAAAGTGTTGTAATTATAGGGGTCCTGACCCAAAAAGGAGTTGTGGGGGGGGGGTCGCAAGATTATTGTAGGGGGTGGGGTTGCGGCAGTGCTACCCTTACTTTTGCACTGCTGCTGGGGGCCTTCAGAGCTGGGCAGCTGGAGAGCAGTGGCTGCTGGCCAGGAGCCCACCTCTGAAGGCAGAGACGTTGCCAGCAGCAGTAAGGATGTCATGGTACGGTATTGCCACCCTTACTTCTGCGCTGCTGCCTGCAGAGCTGGGCCCTTAGCAGACGCCACTCTCCAGCTACCCAGCTCTGAAGGCAGCAGTACAGAAGTAAAGGTGGCACGGTATGGTATTGCCACCCTTAATTCTGTGCTGCTTCTGGCGGGGCGCTGTCTTCAGAGCTGGGCACCTGGCCAACTGCTGCAATTCTCCAGCCACTCAGCTCTGAAGGCAGCACAGACATAAGGGTGGCAATACCACAACCCCCCTAAAATAACTTTGTGACCCCTCCCAATTTGAGAAATGCTGGTCTCCACCATGAAATTGGTATAGTATAGGGTAAAAGCACACAAAAGACCAGATTTCACGGTCCGTGACACATTTTTCAGGGCTTTGGTAGGGCCCTAGTGATACTGTATTCATTGTCACAGTATGATATGACGTGATGCAACATCATTGCATTGTGCAAGCCCCAAAATATCTGTTGAATTCCTGGAACATCTAGCATGTTAGAGTTACAGGATGTGGATTGCTCCTTCAAAATTGGGACAATATACAAATATTGGATGGGTGGGAACTTTAGGGCCTGATCCAAAACCCATTTAAGACATGGAAAAGAAAAGTATTTGCTGGTGCAAGTGCTGATCACCCTCAAAATTATATGGATTTTAATGATTTTACCAAACATATTACAGTGTGTATGTTGTGGTTAGGAGCAGGTAGCATCATTCCTTTTAAGAAAGTATTTTGTGGCTACAGATCAATGTGTATATTTTAGGGTGCAATATTGCTTTGTTGTATATTTGCACTTGTAAAAGCCCCACTGAGGGAAGCCAGGCTATCTAGTGTTTCCTCAGAAATTTACAAAGGATGCTTGGCTTGCTTTTTCATTCTTCCACAGGTATAGTGATTGCTTTTTTGTGATTTCTACTTAGTCCTAAACCTCACGCCC